ACCGCCCCGCAGCGGCAGAGCGCATGCGCGCCTGCGACTCAGCGCCAACATGTCGGCGCAGGGGGACTGCGAGTTCCTGGTGAAGCGGGCCCGCGAGCTGGTGCCGGGGGACCTATGGGCGGCCAAAGCCTGGCTTATCACGGCGCGCAGCCTCTACCCCGCCGACTTCAACATCCAGGTTAGCAGCGCCGGCACCGCCGCCGCCGCGGCCTGGGCTAAGGGCGCGGGGCGGCCCCACATGGCCTTGCGGCGCCGGCCGCCTGAGTGACGGGAGCTCCGGCCAATGGGGTGCGGGAGGGGGCGGGCCCCACTGTTGCCGGGGTTACTGGGCGTCCCGTGGTGGCGGTTGGTTGTCGGTTAACGGCCGAGCTGAGGCGGGCGCATTTCCCCTGTGGCGAAGAATAAAATATTTGCGAAAAGGAGCCCGGTTCTTGTGTTTCTTTGCACTAAAGGGTACGCTTCTCCCACGACTGTCCCATGAATGAAGAAGAAGTGTTTGTTAGTAAATGGGGGGAAGGATCCTTCGTGCTTCTTGCATGAAGGAAACATGGGGCAACGTTTGGGTTTGCCTTTGCTAAAAGCCCCTTCTAACAGAATCTTAAAGTACTCGTTATCTGTGGTTCCTTAGCACTGTGGAGTTTTGCACTGTTTTAGTCCACAAACAAGTTTGTCAAATTCTTACTGGTCTTTTTATTTGAGTAAAAATAAGCCCAATATGCTAATACTAGCATACTTACATTAGTGTACAGAAGTTACACATAAACTTTTCAGGTAGCTAAATAGTCCAAATTCTGCTGTTACTCTCAGCTGCAGATGTTGCCATCTTTTCTTCTCCCTTTCTGTTACTCAGACATGGGCCTAACAACAGGCACGTAAGTGATGAGTGTTTAGAGCTGAACACCTAACCTGCTTTGTAAATGTGCTTGTAAATGTGTACACAAATGTGTAAAAGCTCATGGGCTCTTCTCCCACCTTGCAGTATGAGATGTACACCATCGAGAGGAATGCTGAACGGACAGCATCGGCGGGTAGACTGCTCTATGACATGTAAGTAAAATGACCGCACTGCCTTGAATCACAGAAAAAATATGAGAGTTTCCAAAAATATAATGCAAGCGTTCTTGGAAATAGAAGATGATATCTTGCATAGATAAGCTAAGCAGGAGATCAAAAAGTCTCAGAAAAAGGCAAAATGTTATTTGCTATTTGTCCAGGTAAATCGTTTTTTAGGAAGCTGTCAGCTTGGGAACTGCTTTTCCACACGGCAGTGTGGAACACATCACAGCGTGTTTCTTTCTCCAAACTGTATTGCAGGTTTGTGAATTTTCCCGACCAACCTGCAGTGTGGCGAGAGATCAGCGTCATTACGTCGGCTTTAAGGAATGACTCCCAGGACAAGCAGACCCAGTTTTTAAGAGGTGAGTATCCTACTTGGTGAGTGTGTAAAGGCATGTAAAGGTAAGTCCTCTAGTTGCATATCTAGTGTTGCAAATAAACATCTTTTGAATTATGTGTGGCTTCTTGCTTGCAGATCCTTTCTGTCGCTTTAGCCTTACAAACTTTATGCAATGCATTAGGTTTCTAAAATGCTAAAGAAATACAAGAGGCTGATTCACTTGGTCTCTGATAAAGATAGTCCAAGTCTGCAAAAGCTAAAGGCACTCTGGAAAGTTAGAAAACAGACTGCACAGAGAGTAAGTGGAAAGGTGCAAATTGTCAATTATGGTCCAAATTATTTCAGAAAAAGAATAATCTTAAAACTATGGTGCTTTTGTACTTAAAAAAGTCATGAAAATGCACAGTAATCAGAACAATTTGCTGACAACCCTAGGCAGTTTTGAAAGCAGGGTTTACACATTATTAATGACACATTATTATCTTTTGCTTGAAGATGTGCTGTAGGAGCTGTAAGGAGCAACACTGTACAACTCTTCCTATGCAAGCTATTCTAGTTGAAGAAACATTTCTGCATTTTCATTATTTATTTTTCAGAGAGAATATGTAAAACAGCATAACAATATGTTGGTTTCTTTTCAATGTCTCACTGGAAATTTAGAAGAAATGAAGAAGATATCTTCATATATACAAAATGTTAAATTTAAAAGGGAGGGGATGTAAGTTTCTTATATATATATATATATATATATATATATGTACTTTTTGAATGAACTACTAAATATCATAGGATGTTCAATATTTAAGTGTTATGATTGAGTATTCCAATCAACCACATTTGCTTTTTTAAATCATGTTCTATGCACCAAAATAAACACGTGGATATTCCTATGGACTTTGCTGAGAGAATCACTCTTTTTTCTGAGGGTCTCATGTATTCACTTGAGGCATAAGGAAATCTTTTTCAGTGGTTGGGAAGGTGATGCTGACTAGATTTTTATCTTTTTGTCTATCGTCTTTGCAATTCAAACTTATTAAATTGAACAATTCTGTTTTTAAGGATTATTTGAGACGCTTCCTGGTCGAGTCCAGTGCGAAATGTTACTGAAGGCCACAGAACAGTGTTTTAACACGCTAGAAAGGGCAGAAATGCTCCTGCTTCTTCTGCGGCGCTTTCCAGAGACTGTGGTACAACACGGGGTAAGAGAAAAGCAACTCATTTTAACTATTCACAGCATCATCATTCTGTTTCTTGAGATATTGTCGAAACATCTTTTGCTTTGCCTAGGGAGGGGAATGTTTTTTTTGTCTGTGTTTAACTGAGTCTGATGGTTCACGTGGCAGTACCTTGAGGTTACCAACAGCGAAGAATTACACGTGCATCAAATGCATGCAAATAAAACAAGCTTTTGCTTTGTAAAGGCAAAGAAGGTTCCATGATTAAAAAAAATAATAAGAGCGCAAAACAATAGTATAGAGGAATTCTATAGCTTATAAAGTAATATTGCTTCAGTTTTTCTCAGTAAGCTTTCAGTCTGGGGAGAGTGCTTTGAGGTCATGACCAGACTGTGACAAGCAGTTTGCTTGCTTTGCCATATTGAATTGCTGCTAGAGCACTGTGAATGACAACCTACAGTTTTTTAAGCTATTGTGGACAGCAAGTAAAGCATGTTAACTCCAGAACACATTAGCTAAATCAGTTCTTATTTTTGCATCAGGCAAGGAGTAGCTAAATAGTCCAGATTCTGCTGTGATTTTCTATTCATTGCTCAGGCGACAGGCAGTAGCTTTTCAAGCACTGCTAATTCCATCTCTGCCACCAATATGTGCATACTTTGCTGATATATAGGCATGTGCACAGTTTTTCTGTTGGTCTTGGTTTTGCTATCTCGTGGTTTTGCTTTCACCTGTTACTTAATACAGGCAGTTTAAGTAAATGGAGATTAATATATCAGGCAGTTGCTTTAGAGTTATGCTACTGATGTATCCACTGAGTGATTCAGCATCACTGCTGAATCAGCTCAGCATCATTGCATCACATATTTTAAAGAGTTTCTAAGTTGAATGTTTGTTTTTTTCTAATTATCATTATTATTAACCTAATATTCTAATTATCATTATTATTTTAAAGAGTTTCTAAGTTGAATGTTTTTTTTTTAATTATCATTATTATTAACCTTTGCTTATACAGGTAGGCCTTGGAGAAACCTTATTAGAAGCTGAAAGTATTGAAGACCAAGAATCCCCAGTGAATTGTTTTAGAAAATTATTTGGTAAGCAAAAATTAAGAGAAGATTGATGTGCTTGTTTTACTGTATAATTTTGTAAATGTAGTATTCTGTTAAGATAGAGTTTGTTGAAGTTTACAATTGTAAACAATTGTTTACTGCCATGGTAGCCAAAATTAGATTTGTGGAACAGTAAGTAAACTCTCTAATTTGTTTTTAAAACATTTAAATTGCAGTTATGTTTCAGCAACAAAATATACTTTAGTAAGCTGTTTTCAGGATATGTTGATACGGAAACCATGTTATTCAGACCACATTCAGGCTGCGTTAGTCCAGGTTGACTCTATACACGACTGTAAATGCTTTGTGATCTTGTGTGGTATATAGTCAGGCAGAGGCTCACGTTGCTGATTGAAAAGTTCAACAAAAGTTAGAACAAATAGCAGTAAAAACAGGACAACCAAAATTAAAGTGTTTTTTTTTTTTACATAAATATATTTTAGTTTGTGATGTTCTTCCTCTGATAATCAACAACCCTGACGTTCGGCTTCCTGCCAGCTTGCTATATAAATACCTGAATAAAGCAGCAGAATTTTATATTAACTATGTAACTCGATCTACGCAGACTGAAAACCAGTATCAAGGTAAGATCAGCCTTTTCTAAAAATGTATTTCAATATTATTTAAGGACATAGTATAAATGAAGAATACTGTCTCCTGGAGAATAGGATTAGTAATAGTATTTGATGTTTCTTATATCTTAGATATCAAAATGCCTTGCAATCATTTAACTAATTGATTCTCATAATATATGTACTAAAAATTAGGACAAAATGTCCAAATTTCCTTATTTCAGCCTTGCCAAGTCTTGTAAAAGGAGGCAGGAGTGCCTATGCTCTTTGTTAGCCTTTTCAGTAATAGGTGGTTACTCAGAAAACTAAATTTACATTTTTTCTTCTTGAAATTAAATCTGCTGGCTTGATCTGCTCATGAAATGAGAAACATGCTTGTTTTCCTAGGTTCACAAGATTCCACCGATATTATGTCTCCAAGCAAACGTAGCTCTCAGAAATATGTAATAGATGGTCTCACAGAGAAATCATCCCAGATTACAGATCCTTGGGAGAGGCTATTTAAAATATTGTCTGTGGTGGGAATGAGATGTGAATGGCAAATGGATAAAGGCAGAAGGTGAGAAATGCATAAATATGGGATGAGGATGATTTGGCTTAATTAGTCAACAAAGTGAGCTGAAGAAAGATATATCATGATGACATTATGTATAACATCAGAGATTTTCCAAGCCAAAACATCAGTGTTTTCATATCCACTATGCATCTTTTCCTTCAATTTTGTACTCCCTGTAACGGACTTGTAATTAACTTACATTCTTTCTTTCTTCCTCAGAAGTTTTGGTGATATTTTGCATAGAATGAAAGACCTCTGCAGATACATCAGTAACTTTGATAGTGATGCACATGCTAAATACAAGAATCAAGTAGTGTATTCCACGATGCTGGTCTTCTTTAAAAATGCATTCCAGTATGTCAGCAACATCCAGCCGTCTCTCTTCCAGGGTTAGTTTCTAATACTTAAACTTTTGTAAAAACTTCTTACCATTTCATTAACATCCGAAAACTCTTTTCTCATTAGTCTTGAAACTCATCTTTGAAGGTGATGGGAGAGGAGGATGCTATCCTCCCAATGGAGGATACCATCACCATAATTCGTATTATTCTTACATTATTCTTAAGTTTAGGTCCCCTGCAGCTGACATATTCCATGCTACATTTTTGCTTTAGCACTGAAAGGAGATAAGATATATCAGATATAAGAGCTTAAGAGTAGAGGTGTCAGGGAGGGAGCCCTAAGAAGGGGCACCCAAAAACAAGAGCAACCTCAGCCCAGGTAGCGCCCTTATTAAACAGGATACAGTCACACAGGATCCAAACATGTCAGGCCGAGCAAAGAGCTAAAATAGTTATAAAATCTGTGCTGTAACAGAAGTCCACAAAAATTCCATAACTATAGAGTTAGGCTCTCTATATTTTCAAGATACACAAGATACGTTATACTCATTTCTGTGTTGGCATTAAAGTCCAGTGGTATTCAGTGCCTTTCATGTCTTTTGTGTCTTTAGGGCTTTTCCCCCTCCTCTCTGTAAAAATAAGGAGGAGAGTCTATGTATTTGGAGCAGGAAATACAGTAGGAGAAAAATAAAATCTCTTTTTCAATTCAGTAGCACTGAGCCCTTTTCTGTTCCCCCCCCCTTTTTTTTTGTCACATGCATAGACATTCTTGAGAGAGAATTTTCAATGCACTCCTCTTACATAATTCATTCTGCCTTGTTGGAGACCTGAGAAATGAATAAGGCAATTCATACTTCTTTTGGGCTGCCTGCAGGATTGGCAGGAGTTACTCTTTGATTTGATGCTTTAGGGGCTTATTTTTAGTGCTATGTGCTAGAAATCAGTTGAAAGAACTGCAGACTTAGATTCTAGAGTGTGTTAGGCCGAAAAACACAACATTTTTTTATATGGCTGGGTATAACTTTCATTAATGTAAGAAAGGGTTTGTCCAAGGGTCCAAGGAAAGGCTTGGTTTGGCTTGGTTTTGTTCAGAACAGGAGGTTTTTGAATAAGTGTCTAGAAAGCAAAGCATATGCTTAACTGGCATTCATTTAAAGTGGCACATGTAAAGGTAAAAACGCACTCCTCCTGTCTTCAGTGTTTTAAGTAGGCAGCTCTTTAGATTTTGCTGATAGAGCTGCGTCACTTCCATGGTTTTCTCATGGATGCTATTTTCTACATTATGACTTGGCTCCATTTGAAGTTCCCGTGGGTTGCGATGGAAGATAGTGGAATACGCAGTGATGGAGGAGAGGTGATTCACAGTGTGTTGTAGCCTTTGCATAGAGGACACTTAAAGGGGAGGATCTGGGCTGAACACAGTCAATGGAGATAACACCATTTCTTGTTAGACTGCTCCTTGTGGCATGGACTTCTTTTGTAGTGGCCACCTAGCACAACCTTTTTGAGTGGATGGGAAAAGCTTAATTCAGGTTCTCTTGATACCAAGAGATAAAATAGATTCTTCTTATACCAAGATTCCAAATTAAGTTCTTACTGGTTATGAGTGAGGCCTTAGTCTTGCATCCTCCTGCAAACACAAACAGAATAAATGCCCATGAAAATACTCATCTGCACTACTTGTCCATCAGAGGTTTTAAAACAGGAAAACAGATTAATGGATTTCCCCTTTCCCTCAGTTTTCTCTTTGTCTGGACTCTGCACATCTATGATATTTGATTGCATGTTAAAGTAGAAAATGTTTTGGGAGGAAAGACTTTCTCAGAATTGAACACGATAATTTTATTTGTGATTAAGGAGTGTAGTTCCATTTTATAGCTAGTGAAACTTAATGTATAATAGAAATATTAAATGAGAGAAAACATACTGCCTGAACATATCTTTTGGCTCCTTCAAAAAAGGATACATATATTCTGAAAGTGTCAGGGAAACTCTTGCGGTGTCTGATAAATACTATTCTTTACCATAAACGGTAAGAAACACATCACTTCACCAACATAGCTTAAGCTTATGTGACATAATTTAATTTCAAATTGTATTCTCTGGCATTTTAA